GAACGTAAACTTTCGGTAAGTGGAATGGGAATCTGGGAAGACCTGTAACTGTAGTTGTGCATGGAGCTGTAGTTGAAGCTGTTTGTGTTTATGCCACCAGCTGAGGCTGGTCATGTTATTATTGCTTTTACGTTACATTACAGAAATTCGGTTTCAGCAATGTAGTAATTGCTATGCCATGGTTTTTCTTAGCTCTGCGGTTATGAAACTGATTTCCAGAGCAAGGGGAGTGAGCTCTGAACTTTGGGACGTCCTCTTTGACTGATAAGAAGTGTAGATACGATAGTTATACAAGTTTACATATGTACATAGTATGAATGTCCAAATGGGAGCAAAGTCTACAGAATTGTACATTCTGCCATGCATTAATGACCTCCACGACCCCCTGGAGTGTTTAATGGAACCTTTGGCATCGGAAAGTGGTTGTACTTTGAATGCAATTAGATAAACCTGAACTTATTGTTCTATCTGGCCGGGCATGTAACTGGAATAATTATCATTAAACCCCACGAGCAGCAGCTCGGTCCAACAATAGTCGCACGAATACTCAGACAAAGGTACGGACACACGCACACAACACATTTATGAATATGTTAATAAACGAAAAAAATACACATATAAGAGGAGAAGAACAAAGACACATGGAGAACAGGCGATATGCCGATAGTTTTGAGTGCCAAGTGTGAAACGGAAGTGCGGAAGAAACTGCGCCCAAGGCTGCTGGCCTGGCCTGGCCATTTAATTTCATGATCTTTCCAAAGCTCCACTTCGAACAAATGAACACGTTCTATGAACATTTTTCGCCTTTGGCAACACAACTTCTCCTCCGGCAGCGATTCTCTACTCTTTGCTTTGCTTTGCGTTGCTTTGATTATATTTAAATACATTTGCTTAATAATTCCAATACGAACAATTTGACTGGTCATCAGTCGTCGTCGCTGCCCAGTGCGGGGCCTAATTGCTTTATTTATATTCACCGCGATTGCTTGGACATATATTGTTTTGGATATCTGAGACTATGCTTATGGCTTTATGTTTGTCATTACCAAATGGTGTTCAATTGCAATTGCAATTTCCACTGCCAGAGGCTGTTTACCTGACCCTGACTACCGCTGAGATACTCGCACCCGAATCGGATTGATCCGCAGCGATGTTTGCTTTGAGTACCGGTTAATTGGATCCGGTTTAAGTCTGGTTCTCAAGCCGGTTTTACAGTTCTAACAGCGACTAGCACACTCCACTCCAGTCCTCGTCCGTTCATGCCTATTCCCCTAATTTGCGTTGAGTCACTTTTTCGCGTAGAATATTTCATAACTGGCCATAAATCTAGCATTGACCTTCCCCAAGAGTCGTCTCTCGTGCAGCGGTGATTGAGCATTGATTTTGTTTTGGTCTTTGTTTCGCGCTTTTGCCGCGGAACTCATCCTATCATCATCATCATTTATCCATCTACTAATTATTTGTGGCTTTGGCTTCACATTCGCAGACGCAAGCAGTTGGAGAATCTACTGCGTTGCTATGAGGAGAACGAGAACGACATTATCAGTGCCTTGGAGGCGGATCTGCGTCGCCCCAAGCAGGAGAGTCTGATCGTGGAGACAGAATTCATGAAGAATGACATCAAGCACATTCTATACCATCTGAGTGACTGGGTCAAGGCAGAGAAGGTGAGTTCCAATCTACCGAAATTACTAGATCATTCTGCCATTTATCCCGCTCTCTTTTAGCCCTCCAAGTCGATCATAAATGTGATGGATGATGTGCAGATCTACAACGATCCCTTTGGTGTGGTCCTAGTGATTGGTGCCTGGAACTATCCGTTGCAGCTGCTGCTGGTCCCCGTGGCCTCTGCCATTGCCGCCGGAAACTGTGTAGTGATCAAGCCCAGCGAGATCGCCGGCAACTGTGCCAAGTTTATTGCCGAAGTCATTCCAAAATATCTGGACAATGTGAGTTCCAAATTTCCAGCTTCCTTTACTAATACTAATCTGCGCTTTGCTTCAGGACTGCTATCCAGTTGTCTGCGGTGGACCCAGCGAGACGGCTGAGCTGCTCAAACAGCGTTTCGACTACATCTTCTACACGGGCTCCACCCGCGTCGGCAAAATCATTCATGCTGCGGCCAACAAGCACTTGACGCCCACCACTCTGGAGTTGGGTGGCAAGAGGTGAGCATTCCACGCGGATAGCATCGCATGGGGGCGGGGATTTATTTGTGTTCTCCTTCTTGCTTCCAGTCCTTGCTACATTGACAAGTCGGTGGAGCTGCGTACAGCTGTGAAGCGAATCCTTTGGGGCAAGCTAATCAACTGCGGCCAGACCTGCATTGCGCCTGACTACATTCTCTGCTCGAAGGAGATGCAGGACAAGTTCGTGGCCGAAGCCAAGGACGTGCTCAAGGAGTGGTATGGCGAAAACATCCAGAGCAGCCCCGACCTGTGCCGTGTGATCAACACCAACAATTTCCAGTGAGCAGAAAGCAGACAGGAGCATGACAAATTATTGATTGACACAATTTGTTGCGTTGTAGGCGCCTGCTTGGGCTGATGAAGTCGGGACGCGTCGCTGTGGGCGGTAAGTACGATGCCAGCGAGCGTTATATTGAGCCCACAATCCTGGTCGATATCAAGCCGAATGACCCCATAATGGAGGAGGAGATTTTCGGCCCCATCTTGCCCATCTACAACGTGGAGAGTGCCTACGATGCCATCAAGTTCATCAATGACAGGTATGTCCGTCTGTGTGCCATCCAAAGACTGACCATCGACTGCCCCTTTTGTCACTGTCTGGATACATTTTCTCATTTGTCTTTTACATCTGCCACACAATATCACAATACACCAATAACAACAACAACACACCAATACCAATACACACCAATACCAATATCCGGTTCGAAATGTTTTTCTCTTAGAGAGAGTCCACTTGTCCTGTATATTTTCACATCGGAAACCGAGGTTCAAAATCTGTTCGTAAACGGCACACAATCGGGCGGAATGTGCGTGAATGATACTATAATGCATTATGCCGGTAAGAGACCCCCAACGAGGTCAAAAATCAAATCAAACAAATAAAGATGCTATTGGATGTGGATAATGCTAGCGGCTACGGCTTAAACAATACGATCCCAAGTAGTCCGTTCCGCCTTTCTTTATATAAATAGTCCTGCTACCCCTGTACGGTTTTGGTCTCCTTATTTTTCCTCTCAACTTTAAACTGTTTTTAAATGTATGCATTTATATCTGGTGTTGGCGATAAATACTTGTTTAAATATTTAGCTCCCCCTCGTTGTATGCTCCCCAGCGTGTTTTATTGTTCACAATCCAACCCGTCGGCTGATTCGGGCACGGGCAGCTAGGACTAGCTCTAACGATCCAACAAACGATCCCTGACACTTTTCATCCTTTTGTCTTTCATCTCTTTTGTCTTCATGTCATTGATGTAATGTTTGCAGATCTGTGGATTAGGAACAGGTCTGCGAATATTTCATGGTTTGTCTTTTATGTGTAACTCTCTTTTTTAGGTCTGGTTGATGTTGAGGCTCGAAGAAGTCGACACATTAACTGCACTCTTTTGTTAAAAACTTTCACTTAATCTGTTTAACCATTACTCCCTTCTCCTTCTCCCTTACTGCCGGTAAATAGAGAAAAACCTCTTGTAATATACGTATTCTCAAACTCGAACAAGCTCGTTAAAGAGTTCCAGAGCAATACCACAAGCGGCGGATTCTGCAGCAACGAAACCATAATGCATTGTGGAGGTATTTGCTATGCTAATGTACATATGTTTAGATATAGATAAGAGATCTTAGTTGGGTAGCACACGTAGTCCATGTCCATGTAGTACATCCACGTTGGAAGTTGGACCCGTTCGACTGGTGATCCATTTAATGTGGCCTGCGCACTGCACCACACAATTAATCAATGTTTGAATTGCAAATTATGCACAACCACTCCCTGACACTTGGCTCGAGACAAAGAGCAGCACCACAACTACAGACAGCACAGCACAGCACAGTGAGACAAAAACGCCGCAGCACAACCTTTTTAACTTTAACCATAGCTTTTTGTTTCGGTTTGGGTTTGGAATTATTTATTTGAATTTAATAACTTGGGGGTTTTGGCTTAACAATTTAATGCTTGGTGTACATAATACACTTAGTCTTAAGAGTAACTAAGATTACTAAACATAACTTTGGTGGTAGCCCTAAATTGTTATATATACCATATATTTACATGGCTTCTGCCCAAATTCACAGTGGATGTGCTGCCCTTTGGCGGCGTTGGCATGAGCGGCATGGGCTCCTACCACGGAAAGTACGGCTTCGACACCTTCACACACAAAAAGTCGTGCCTGGGCAAGGATCTGTCGGCGGTCGGTGAGAAGTTGGCCTCGTAAGTTTGCAGTTTCCATTGCCGATTGGGAAGCAGCTTGTAATATTCATGGTCTTTACTTTCGCAGAGCTCGCTATCCCCCGTACTCTGATCGCAAGGGATCGTTCTTGTCATTCCTGCTGCGCAAGCGCCGACCACTGCCTAATTTATATCTGACACATGTGCTGGCCGTCGGCCTGGGCGTGGGTCTGACGGTTCTGGCCAACTATTACCTACAGGTAAGAAAGGTATTTGTGCTCGACAATCACGCTCACCGTGAACCTGTGTATGTTAAATGTATGATTATCTTCCAACATTACTGGGACATCACCCAACATTTCTGGGACAACACTTGAACCTGCACCACAACAACAACAACACCCTTCACTCGCATTCTACCAAACTCATACACTGCTACTGTCCGCCGCATCTAGGGTAAGCTGCTGTCGCGTTAGGAGCGAGGGTGAGAGACCATCACGCCGAGAGCTTAACCAGTGGAGCCAACCAACTAAGATGTGGATCTGTTTGAAATAAATGTATAACCGTAGACTAGTTTCTTTACTGGGTCTAATGATACTAACTGATACTAAATGATACTGCTGATACTAACCACCATCACAACCCACACACACGCCCGTACATTAAATTATTCCCAGAATATTAAGCGACGCTTTTGCATGTGTGCTCTTATGGGCTGGAAACCGATTGGCCAGATGAGCATTGTATTATTTATCCCGTACCCACATTTTTATTTTCAGAAAAATTCAACTGAATAAAAAGGTCTAAACTTATACTTTTTATACGCATATCGGTGGGTCATGTCTAGCTTTGGATTCTTCGTGTTACACATATTAGTTATTGTTATTTAGTTGCTATTTTATACAAATGTGAATGCTTACTACAATATACGTCAAAACAAAGTGGCATGGTTTTGTTTTCCTCTGGGAGTGGGTCGGAATTTTTGAATTCAACGGAATCTGGCTAAAGCTTCGCAACTTTTCACCTATATAACATACTTTTCTGGATACTGATACTGCTTGAAATATACGGAAAATATATTAGGTTTGCAATAAATACCGGTTTTGGTATATTTCTGACTTTTTGGCTCGCAACCAGCACTAACCAAATGGTATAGTAGATTGTCAATTTGATGGAAGCGAAACGTCACCGCAGAATGTGCGTCGCGAAGTCCCAGGCCTCTGCCAACGTCGCAGCTACAAGTATTAGTGCGTGTAGAACACGCAGCTAGAAGTCCCAGCTACATTTGTATAAGTGCGTGTAGCCAATGATTTTTTGCGCTCCAAACCGGTTTTGTCTTGATTCACACGGACACTGCAGGTAATGTATGTGTTGGTGCGCTGACTTTCTGAGGTGCGATGGAACGAAAATTCGTTTTGATGATTTGATTTTGTTTTCGGGGCTTGGCGTATGAACCTGACCTGCCGCAACATGTGCAAAATAAGGGGTGGGGATTGGTGGCCGGACCCTTGGGGGTTGGAAAAAATAAATATACCAATAAAAGTTGTTATTGTAATTGTATGCTGTAATTTTTTTATATGCAGATTTTATACAGCTTTATTCAAAATTGTATGCATTAATTATGGAAATGCCGTCACTTCTCTACTTCGTTGCTGCCGTATTATCAACATTGTTACCAAATCCATCTTTTACAGACAAATCTTTTCAGATAAATATAAAAACATATATATGTATATAAGCATATATGTAAACACATATGTGTATATATGTACATACATCTATCCAATTTCTGTTCTCGTCGTCGGTTATGTTCTCGACTTCATGTGCGCTTTAATTGTTAGCGCTTGAAACCTTTTCCATTTTTTTTCTGAGCTCACATACCCTTTAAAATGAAAACCCTCAAGACTTTATGAAGAAGCTTGCCCCTCAATATCAAAATAAATTTATTTTGTGTGACCTTTATATGCTTTATATAATTTAGGATGAAAGGAGTAACGGATATAAACATCTGAATATATATCCAAATAATGAATTACCGCAATTGACTTTGCGTTGCAAATATTTTACATTAGAGTATTCAGGGTCACGGTGTAAACAAGCATGGAGTTTTAACGGAACGGGACATAGAGGCATACTATTTGGTTAGTGCAACCAGGCTGACCAATTCAGGTATGCTATATACTTTTCAGGATATTTTGACTACGAAATTGAGTTTACGGTATATCGGTTTATAATGTTATATTTACTAAATGACATCCGGCTATTCCGTATATGGAATAGTGTAGGGTATCAAAACTGGAATTGGCATGTTTTTCAATTGTCCCTCGAGGAGTTTCTCTCTTTTCTGTAGGGAATTTTCTCTCTCGCAACATCGCACCAATCGCACCTTTATTCCATCCCCACTTACATTAAATTCCATTCACATATATATTTATTTTAACGTTGGCAACATAAATTATATGGACACGTATGACAAGCAACAAATTTCCAAATACGTATCAATACATACCCACTTCCGTAACGCTCTATGCTACTTTTGTTGGTTGGCCTTTTTAGTTTCCAACTTAATTTCCTTCCAACAAAAGAAGGTCGTGAAAACTTTCCAGGAAAACCTTGTGGTTTTTTTGGTAAATCTGCTAAAATTACAGTCATAGCACTAAGACTTCTAACTAGCTAGTTAAATCAAATATAACATCAAAAGCGAGGAAAATTATTTCAGATGACGGAATATTTCTCAAATGAAAAGGTATATTTTGGAATATTTTTGAGGGTTTAGCGGTATATTTAATCGATAATTCCGCGGCCACACTGCCCACAACAAAATATTTTCGGAGGGCCACACTGACGTGTGTGTGAATTTTTTGTCTATCATTTACGTGAAAATATTGAAAAATAAATTGATAAAATGGCCGCTCGCGGCGATATGATTGCACAATTCATTGAAATTACCGGCACCGACGACAACACGGCCACGTTCTACTTGAACAGCTCCGAGTGGGACATAGAAGTGAGACATGCAAGAGCCGGCGACTTAATAGCAATGATGCAGCAAATACTAATGCATTTCTGCCCTGTTAGCAAGCCTTGGGCAACTACTGGAACACCCAAAGTGACATGCCACCCACTCCGACCACGGGGCACTCGAATGAACCATCGCCGACTACACCAGTAGCACCAACTTCTAGCAGTGGCGCAGTCGCCGCTGCAGCTACCAAAAGCACTGGCGCTGATGAAGGGAAAAAGGCCCCAAAGGCCAAACCAAAGTAAGTGCAGTAGCTATTTGGATTGGAAACCCTTAAAAGACTTGAAAGTAACAAATATTGGCTGATAGGTTCGCCACACTAAACGACATGTCGAAGGAGCCCTCAGACGACGAGGAGCATCAGGCATTCTATGCAGGGGGATCGGACCGCTCTGGCCAACAGGTTTTGGGTCCACCCAAACGCAAGAACTTTCGCGAACAACTTTCGGATATGATGCGTTCCGCCCAGGAGAACGCTGGCGATCTTGGTCCGTCGACCAGTGGTGGCTCTTCTGGAGGCGCTGGCAGCGGCAACGTTTGGGGCCAGGGAATGCGTCTGGGCATGACTGATAGCGATCACACAGCCGTGGGCATAAATCGTACGGCTGAGACGTCGGGGAACAAACCTGTAGTGGTACTTAAACTTTGGAGCCAGGGTTTCTCCATCGATGGGGGAGAACTGCGTCACTACGATGATCCAGAGAACAAAGAATTCCTAGAGACAGTCATGCGCGGGTAAGCAACGATCACGTTCCACATTCGCGAACAGAAATTGTTATTGAGAAAGCTTCTGGTTGGCTAGGGAAATACCACAGGAGTTGCTGGAAATGGGACGCATGGTTAATGTTGATGTGGAGGATCACAGACATGAGGACTTTAAGCGCCAGGCAGCACCTCAGACATTCAAAGGATCCGGGCAGAAGCTCGGCAGCCCCGTGGCAAATGTTGTCGCCGCAAAAGCACCTGCAGTCGCTGCAGCTGTGCCACCCGCCGAAGCCGCCCAACAGGAGGCCAATGCTCGTGATGCCATCAATTTAAACTCGGAAGCTCCGTCGACCACACTGCAGATTCGTCTTGCAGACGGCTCCCGTCTGGCTGCACAGTTCAATTTGACACACACCGTCTCGGACATCCGTCGATTCATACAAACGTAATACGCTCGAATAACATTTGAAGGCTTTCATTCACCTCTGGAAACATTCTCCATTTTCATTTCAGAGCTCGTCCACAATACTCGGCCAGCAACTTCACCCTGGTCTCTTCGTTCCCCACACGTGAGTTGAGCGATGATAGCTCCACCATCGAGAAGGCTGGCCTCAAGAATGCAGCGCTCATGCAACGTCTCAAGTAGAGTTTTAAGTTACCAGAATACCAAAGCTACGTTTTCCTCTTGGGAAGCATCAGGCTTATAAAATTATCGGTGATGTTATAGTGGATTCAGTGTGTATAATTGTCTATTATATATCCAATATACAATTTCTGGACATTCTCTTTATGGCAGTCAAGTAATCTCTCAAACGATGAGCTACATGTAAACTAAAACTTAAACTAATAATAGCACACAAAGGAAAGGCTTAGCTTATATCAGAAGATCCACCTCATTGCGGAGAATGTTGATATGTTCCATGAAGTCTGCACGCACTCCATTGCGCCAGTCATGGAGACCATCCGCACCCACATTGGAGCAGTCCACATAGCGATGCGCAAAGCCGGTGGACAGCGAAAGCTCAACATGCGCCGTGTTCGCCAGAAGCTGTGTCGGAGGCAGCTCTAGGCGCTGTAGGAGCATTTTGTAGGGAGCTTTCCGTTCGGGGTCATATTGAATATTGTCCAGCAGCAGCTTCTTCTGTTCGTCAAAGCATACGGAAAACGTGGCCAGCTCAAAGCGCGCTGTGTCGGCGGAGAAGTGTCGTAGCTGCTGCTGAAGCGAACTCTGGGAACGATCGGCAGCAAAGCGTGCATTTGGATAGAACACTTCGTTTGGCTGTAGAAGTATGGTGAAGCTGGCCTGGTTAACATTCCGCAGCAAGCAATCGGCGTGGATGATTGAACGAACTCGCCTGGCAGTTTCGTTGCTTTGCTGGAAGGGAAAGTTAAAGGGAAGCCCGTACAGATGGATATTTGTGCGATCCAGAACGCGGATTATATTCTCCGGCAGCTCATCGAAGTTGTATACTAGAAAGTGTTCGATGCCGAGAGCCTGGTGAGTCAGGAAGAACTGAATCAGGGCATTTTCGTTGCGGCCGAATCTCGATGTCATGTTGAAACCCACAAGATCCACACAGACTGTCGCCGGTAAGCGGGCTGGCACTGTAGCTGCCTTCGCACTCGCACGCTTGAGATGTTGCAAACGTAACTTGACTGGGCTCTTGATAGACGTGATATCCGTGAACGAAACACTCTCTGGCTGGCCGAAATCGCGGCTCACTTGACAGAAGAAATGGTAGCTGGTAAAGTTTGTGCTAAAGTCGTTCACCACACTTTCCTTGCCATCGAGTTGAAATCGAAATTTTCCCTGAACAGTTCGTGTCCCGCCAACAGCCAGGCTACATCGGAAGTCCACAACAGCTCCCTGTTTTCCAACAACGAGAACGTGAGCTTCTCCGCCGGCCACTAACTCTTTGCGCATCCAGTAGGCAGAGTAGGCATGGAAGGAATCCCCAATGACCTGCCACACTGGCATTGGCCGCCATAGCGCCAATTGTGGCAGATCTTCCTTGGTTCCATTCTCCAAGCGGCGCAATACGGCAACGTCGCTGCGCCCAAAGAAGTTTACATACTTGAGAACATATTTTAGGCGATTGTTCTCGGTCTTGTACATCAAGAGTATGCCCACGCTCAAGCAGGAGATGAGCAACAGCACCAGCTGTTGATATTTACGCATTTTCCTTAGATCTCCTATGGACAGATTGCAT